CTTCAGCTCAAGGCTAGCGCTCTACCACTTGAGCCACAGCGCCACTTCCAGCTTTTTTCTTTTTGCTTATGTGGTGCTGAGGAATCGAACCCAGGGCATCAGGCATGCAAGGCAAGCGCTCTACCACTGAGCCAACTTCCCAGCCCAGCCAGACTGCTTTTACAAGAAATTCCCATTCTTTTATTTTTTTTATTCTAAATCTAGCTTTTCTGTGTTTTATAAAACTATCTACAATTTTTACCTAGGACATGAAAAAATTTACATGAATCATTACTAAGTAGAATCTTAATTTATTTTCTTCATATTAATAAACCTGACAAACAGGAACCAAGCATATTGGTAAACATCTGTAATCCCTGTAAGTTAGTAAATTGAGGCAAAAGGATCTCAAGTTTGAAGCCAGCTTAGGCTGCCTATGAAACCTTGGCACAAACAACTAAGCTTAAAAATTGCTGTGTGGGCTGGAAATGTAGCTTAGTGATAGAGTGCTTGCCTAGCATTCATGAAGCTCTGAGTTTGATTCCTCAGTACCACATAAACAGAAAAATCCAGAAGTGGCACTGTGGCTCAAGTGGTAGAGTGCTAGCTTTGAGCAAAAGAAGGTCAGGAACAGTGCCCAGGTCCTGAGTTCAAGCCCCAGGACTGGCAAAAAAAAAAGTCAGTGTCTCATACCTATAATCCTAGCTACTCAGGAGGCTGAGATCTGAAGGTCACAGTTCAAAGCCAGCCCAGGCAGGAAATACTCTTATCTCCAATTAACCATCAGAAAACCATAAGTGGTGCTATGACTCAAGTGGTAAAGCGCTTACCTTGAGCTGAAGAACTGAGGAACAGTGCCCAGACCCAGAGTTCAAGCCCTATGACCACACACACACACACACACACACAAAAGCAACCCTGCTTTGTATCATAAGATGTTCTAGTAAACATCTGATCTTAGGTGCCATTTGACTTGTACTCTAGTTATATTTTTATTAGAAGTAGAAATATGAACTAGAATATAAGATGAAATTGAAACCAAAATTGCTAAAACTGAAAATGTACCTGTTCTGATTTGCTTTGTTTTCTCTGAATTATGTAAGATTTCAATCTAAGATTAAAACGGGCTTGCCAGAATTTCCTCCTATTCTGCAAACTGATTGAAATTCAAGGAAAATAATACACATGCAATTTTGTTCCCACCCCACCCCCTTCTTGTTGTTTTTATGGTTTTATTTTTGGTTTTCCTCTTCTATAGACTGTCAGACAATTCATGATCATTATGGTACAAGACTGTCCAGAGAATGTCTTAAAGCTTTTGATGCAAGCTGGGATGTAGTTCAGTAGGAAAGCACTTGCCTAGCAAGTACAACACTCTAGGTTCAATCACCAGTACCAAGAAAGAAAAGACAAAAAATTATAGTTTAAAAAAATTCCCCAAAACACAAAATTTTTTTTAAAAAACACCACATTTTGATGCTTGACAATGTGGACAAGGGCATGGCCCTTAAAGACACCAGTGGTGTCAATATGTGGAGTAGGATGGATATGATGGCCAGAGAAACAGCCTTCTGGACTTCCCAGCCTTCCTAATGGCCATAAATATTGAGAATGTGACACACATAGTAATGGGAACAAGCTTAAAAAACAGAGAAATACAGATTATGTAAAATTAAAAGCCATGACTCTTACCTGGGCCACAGAGAAAATGTGCAGCCCCCAGTGTGGCAACCATATCACAAGCAAAGCTGTCAGGATACTCCTGAGGATAACTGACAGGCTCTCAGCAATTACCTGCAAACATGTGGTAAAGGTACACTTTACAGACATTATCAGAAAGTAAAGATGCAAAGGAATGACAAACAGAAAATCCAGAGTAAAGGTACACTCTACTGACTTTATCAAAAAGTAAAGACACAAAAGAATGACAAGCAGAAAATCCAGGGTGGTGGTTACAGTGAGTGTGGAGCAACGTTGGACATAAGCATTGGTAATGCTCTACTTCTTGGACTGACTGGGTGGTAGGTTCACGTATATGTTAGATATTCTTTTGTATATACTAAATGATGTTCTGATTTTGGTGGTATGGTGTTTGAACTCAAGATTTTGCAATTACTAGGTCAGCACTCTACCACTTGAGCAGACTCTAGCTCTTTTTCCTCTGGTTATTTTTGACATAAGGTATGCTTTTGGCCTAGATAGTGACACCCCTATTTATGTTTCCCATCATAACTAGTATGACAAGTGTGTCACCCTGCCCAGCTTTTAGTGTTCATATGAGATCTTGAGAACTTTTTTGCCCAGGTTGGTCTAAAACAGTGACCCTCCTGATCTGAGAGTCCTGAGAAGTTATGATTATAAGCATGAGCCACTGGCACCAAGCTTAATTAATATGTTGACAAAAGTCAATGTTAATATTCAACTAAATAGGATCCTTTGGTTTTCTGAGATAAGGTCTTGCTATGTAGCCCAGGCTAGTCTCAAACTCAGTATGTAATCCAGGCTGCCTCCAACTTATGATCCTCCGGCCTCATTGTCCCAAAGGCTAGGATTACAGGTGAACAAAATCATACCCTATTTAGCAGAGATAAATTTTAGTTCAGCCCATCTGATAACTGAATTTAATTGAACATGTTACCTTTTTCCAAGTAGATCAATGTCTGAAAAAATAATTATTACCTATAAAAACATTTTTAAAACACATGTTTTCCCTTATGCTTTACATTTTTTTTCTTTCTTTGGCCAGTTGTGGGGCTTGAATTCTGGGCCTGGGCACTGTCCCTCAACTCTTCAGCTCAAGTCGAACATTCTACCACTTGAGCCACAGAGCCACTTCTGGTTTTCTGAGAGGTTTATTGGAGATAAGAGTCTCATGGACTTTTGTGCCAGGGCTGGCTTTAACTGTAATCTTCAGATCTCAGCCTCCTGAGTAGCTAGGATTACAGACATGAGCCACCGGCGCCTAGCTATGTTTTACATTTTCTATTCACAGAAAGTACACTCACCTTGAGCTTGATAAACATATGTGCTTGTGCCAAAACCCAGAAGGGCTCTCCTAGAAGTTCCACCACGGCTGACAGACCAAACAGCACCACTCCAGTTCCATAGTGGGGAACCACATTTGGATCAGGCACTTCAAGTAAGTGCAACCAGATCCAGCCCAGGAATAAGGACCAAAATACACCCAAGGGAATTCTAGAATATTGAAAAAAATGTTTAATAGATTTTAAAATAAGTATAATATACACTAAAATAGTAATATTAAACAAAAAATTAGTCATGATAAAGCAATTACCACATAAGAAGCTGTTAGTAGAGTATGGGCACAACCTACATGCCTGTCACTATGATTCAAACCTTTAACTCACTGACACCTCACAATGTTCCTTGGCCATTATCCTATTTAGGAGATGAAAAAAACTGAGAATTATAGGTACTAAGCAATTTAACCAAGGTCATGAATAGGTAGTCAAGAACAGAAGAAGAGCCCTGTCCTAACTAACTCTATATGCCTATATACTGACTGGGTTATACTAACTCAGTAAGGAAATAGCCAAAAAGAAAATGCCTGTTTGTGCTAGAATGATTGACAGGTAACTATACAGGTGATCTTGGGAGCCAAATGCCCAATAGTCCATGGCACAACATACTTTCATGTGTGTAACAGAGCACTTACATATTACTGGGTAGTCAACAGCCCTCTAATAAAATGAACACCTACCAGCCTTATGACAGTCATTCTGTGAGGCAATGAAATGTTATGCAAGGACAACATTGGGAAACAACCTCAACTGCCAGCCTTCCCTGTGAGGATCTAGCTACTGAAAAACCATTACCATTGTTAGCCAGTATGCTTAGTGTTCAAAAATATTCTAAAAGCTCAGAACTGAAATCACAAAAAATAAAATTGAAGATGTAATGAAATCCTTAAAAAACAAAAATAAATACCAAGTGGTTATTAAAAGTTCAAAAACACTTTGGGGCAAAAACATTAGGAATAAGAAAGATAGCACAGGTCAGACCCAGATCAATGACCAGGAACAGCAAAAATAGCTCCATAGCTGGGCGCCAGTGGCTCACGCCTGTAACCCTAACTACTCAGGAGACTGAGGATCACAGTTCAAAGCCCGCCCATGCAGGAAAGTCTGTGAGACTCTCATCTCCAATAAACCACTAGGAAACCAGAAGTGGTGCTATGGCTCAAATGGTAGAGCACTCATCTTGAGCTGAAGAGCTGAGGGATAGCACCCAAGCCCAGAGTTCAAGCCCTATGACTGACACACACACACAAAAAAAAGGCTTCATAGGGGCTAATATCAAGTCTAGAAACCTCTAGCCAGAACCTCCAGCCAGAACCTCCTCTCAGCTCCTGGACATCCAGAGAGAAACTGAACCAAGAAGCTCTTCCAACACACTCTGCTTCTTACCCAGACACTCATCTCCCAGCAACCCATTATAAGATGGAACTTGGAGACCATTCGGTTTTAGAAAGGTGCTGCTGTTTCACTCACTACAGTTGCCTTTCTGAAATATGTCTCTTTCCAAAGCACAACTCACGTTAGCCACAAAAGATTGAGAGTCTGGCTCCAATCCTGCTGGGTGCCCCTGCTCAGACAAGCTCTACGGAAGGCTTCTCTGGCTAGGAAGATGGTGGTTGAGTAAAGCAGTGTTAGTCTGTAAAGAAAAAAGCAGAAATCAGTAAGGAATTCATTTTGTTTTGTTTTTACAGAGAGAACTCCTGAATTTTTCCAGCAACAAGGATGAGAAAGGGCCTTAGTCACAAACTTCTGGTGGTAAGATAAAGGATAATAAGCTCTTAGAGGATTCCCTAATGTCTCATCCATGTACAAGAATTAGAAACCAAATAAAACACATCTGAATGTGTATACTTCCAGCAGACAGAAAACTGCTGTAGTGAACCCAAGGACCTGCAGGCTTAGTGACTATGGGCAGAGGTGTGATGCTGACTATAAAAAGAAAAGGATGGTCTGGGAATGTGGCTTAGTGGTAGAGTGCTTGCCTAGCATGCATAAAGCATTCCTCAGTACCACATAAACATAGGCCAGAAGTGGCACTGTGGCTCAAGGGGTAGAGTGCTAGCCTTGAGTAAAAGAAGCTCAGAGACAGTGCCCAGGCCCTGAGTTCAAGCACCAGGACTGGCAAAAATAAATAAACAAACAAATAGATAAATAAAAAGAAAAGGAGCTGGGCTCCAGGGGCTCATGCCTATAATCCTAGCTATTCAAGAGGCTGAGATCTGAGGACTAAGATTTAAAGGCAGCCTAGGCATGAAAGCCAGTGAGACTCTTATCTCTAATTACTAACTAAGAAAGTTGGAAATAGAGCTGTGGCTCAAGTGGTAGAGTGTTAGCCTTGAGCAAAAAAGCTCAGGGACAGCACCTAGGCCCTGAGTGCAAGCCTCAGGACCAGTACCAAAAACAAAAAAAAAAAAAGGAAGGAGAAAAGGAAAAAGCCTATCTCTCCACCTAGCATGGGAACCTTCTGTTCACACTAAATCAAGTCACTCTATAACCCCTGTAAGAGAAACTAAAGCCCTATTACATGGAAGTGCTGGCCAAAAGAATCACAGTAAAGACAATTAAGGCTAGTAGCCATCACAGAGCTTGCTACAATCCAGCTCAGCAAGGTTTTCTTTGGAACCTCTAAGGTGGATGGTGTCTGGGTAAGCACCTCAGTAGCAATTGAGGCTTCCTTGCCTCAACAGGCAACAGTCCAGACTAAGCTGGAGTGGGAATGGCTCAGTTACAGTCCCTGAAGTGTCTATGGATCATCCTTAGTGCCAGTGCTTCATTTGCCCAACAGTATAAATGAATAGATGGAGCTATATCTTAATGCTAATTGTGGAGACCCTTTTCTTTCTGACTTTTAAAATAGTATTTCTCAAAGTATGGTCTCTGCTTCAGAATCAGCTGATTTATAGACTCAAACCTGTAAATCTAGTTACTCAGAAGGCTGAGATCTCAGGATCATAGCTCAGAGCCAGTCTAGACAGAATATCCAGGAGACTTTTATCTCTAATTACCCAACAAAAAGCTGAGTCTGGAGGTGTGGTTCAAGTGATAGAGCACCAGCTATGAGCAAAAAAAAAAAAAGCTTCATTAAATGAGAGTATGAGGCCCAAGTTCAAGCCTCAGTACCCATCCTATACACACCTAAATCACCTGAGAAGCTTGTAAAAATGCAGATTCCCAGACTCTTCCTGAGCCCTTCATAGTACATAGCTCCTAGATAATTATTTTATTTTATTTTTTTTTTGGTCCAGTCGTGGGACCTGAACCCTGGGCCTGGGCACTGCCCCTTAGCTCTTCAGCTCAAGGCTAGCACTCTACCAGCCACAGCGTCATTTCCAGCTTTTTTTTTTTCTGCTTATGTGGTGCTGAGGAATCGAACCCAGGGCCTCATGCATGCAAGGCAAGCGCTCTACCACTAAGCCAACTTCCCAGCCCAGCTCCTAGATAATTCTTTTGTCAACAAGTTTTAAGAACTGCCATTAGGCTCTGAGAATAAAACCAAGGGCATGTGTTTGGTAAATACCAGATATGAAATGCTGTCTAGAACATACTGTCTTGTTTACCAGGACAAGCACTCACATCATTTCATATACTTTTGTGTCATTTGTAAATACAAAAATATGTGTGGGTGTCCTTCAACAGAAGAGAGGGGAAAAACAAGCCAAATCTAAACGACTAAGTCAGCTTTCCAAAAGCTACCGAGTAACTAATGAAATGACAAGGACTCAAGTTCTGATCCCAGTTACTATATCCCAACTATAAAATCACTGAAGAAAGGAAGGTAGCTGTTCCAACCCTGCAATTAATAAGTACATCTTCACAGGCTACAGAAATCCTGCTTCCTTTGCTGCCAGCAGGACAAGAACACATGAATATACCTGAGAAGGGGTTTTCAGTGAATTACTCCCACTTTCCTCCTTGGTTCTAAGAGCACGAGAACCGGAAGACCTGGCAGAAATATGTGCATTTGGAAGCTGCTAATGGAAAACAGTTCATGGGTCCATTAAAAGCAATACTGCGGCTCATCCCCCAACCTCTGTAAACCCTTGCTCTGCTCACTGCAGAAACATTCTGCTCTGATAAAGGTGTACATCTCTTAAAAAAAAGAAAAAAAAAGCATACTGAAAAAAATATATATAATTAGGGATGTAAGCTGTCAACAGTGCCATAGTGCATACCTTCTTACCTTACATTTACTACACCAACAATTTCCTTTGAGAGAAAGCGAAGAATAAATGCATTCAAGACAAAGGTGATTAATCGAAACAACACCTACAGAAGAAAAAAAATACAAAAGAATAAATTATGTTAGGAGTGTTTACTGAGTTGAAATGAGGACCATGGCTGTTCTTCTTAATGTGATGTAACAACACACAGAAGCTATGCTCCATACTCTTCGGTAAGATGCTCAACTTGTTTGTCTTTGTTCTGAAATTTTACTCCTTGGAGTCTCTATTCTATGGAGCAGTCAAAGAACCAAGGGTGGCACTTGGGGTTTCCCTAATTTACTAACAAGAGTGCCTTCCATAGATTCAATGAGTTTCTTTAGGTTCAAAGTCAATCACTCCAGAAGGCAGAACAAGTTGAAAAGATGGCACTGGTGGTTCATGTTTATAATCTCATGAGGCTGAGATCTGCAGATTGAGGTTTAAAGCCAACCCAGACAGGAAAGTCTGTGAGACTCTTATCCAATTAACCTCCAAAAAAACTGGAAGTGAAGCTGTGGTTCAAGTGATAGGGCACTAGCCTTAAGCAAAAAAAGCTCAAGGCCCTGAGTTCAAGCCCCAGGACTGGCACATGTACACACAAATTGTATTGGTGATTCATATTTCCCAGCACCCTAGTCAAAACCCTCTAGTCTGCTTAGAAATATGCACTGCAAGGAGAGCCTGCGGGTTATAGCAGATTCTTCCTGGCAATTTATAGGGATTTTAAATTTATATTAATCGCTTTGAAATTTGCTTCTCTCAATCAGAATAGAAAATGCTACATTTCTTCATTAATATTTGCTCCTTTCCAGAGAGTTGACATACCTTCTAAATAACTACAATAATAATAGAAAATGAGAGTCCAACCATGTCATTTGACTGAGAATATCTTGAGATGTTCAAATTTGTCAATTCAAGAAAAATATCCTGGGAGAGAGCGAGGGAAGGGGTGACATTGTCCAAAAAGAAATGAACTCTTGGGGCTGGGAAGGTAGCTCAGTGGTAGAGTGCTTGCCTCACATGCATGAGGCCCAGGGTTTGATTCCTTAGCACCACATAAACAAAACAAAACAAAAAAAAACAGAAGTGGGCACTATGGCTCAAGTGGCAGAATGCTAGCCTTGAGCTGAAGAGCTGAGGGACAGCGCCTAGGCCCAGAGTTCAGGCCCCACGGACCCGCCAACAAACAATAATCAAAAAAGAATCTCTTTCCTTCTTTAAAAAAAAAAAAAA